AGACAAAGACAAACCATTTTTGACAAAAAAAAAAAAAAAAAAAGAAAATCACAAAACAGACATGAAAATAACAATCGAATGAAATTAAAAACAACATCCTGTACAAACACTATGGCCCAATAATTTAAGAAAATAGTGTCTCTAAAACGTTCATATTGCTTTGTACCTCCACTGACCAGTTCCGCTCTGTGCGACACCGGAGCAGTTCAGACGGCGGCCACAGAGGGCGCCAAATCCCAGGTGCCGATGTCGCTCCAGAGGTTTTGGGGTCAAGCTGCAGCCGGTGGCATGCAGGCGTAGAAGAAGAGAAATGTTTGTTGTTCCATGTTCTCTTTCTCTCTGGTTGTTTTGGCAGTAACAATACAAAGACAAGGGATGGTCACACTACTACAGTACTGCACTCCTTATGAAACCAAGGATGTTTTTACTGTTTGTTGTAGTTTTACCATTATTACTTTCTACAGCATTATTACTAGAACTATCACCATCACAGATACACTGAGTGCATCGTGTGTTTGTGTGTGTGGAGGGTTCGTCCGGCTGTGTGTTTGTGTTTGTGTGTGTGTGTGTGTGTCTGTGTGTTTCGGATGATGATGGGTGTTCAGTGCTCAGAGCTTGTCTTCTCAAAGGAGAAACTGGGAAGAGTCAATAGCTTGGGGTTGGTGTTGGGGTTTGGCGAGCCTCCGTCCTGTCCCGAACCCTCTCCGACTCCCAGGTCAAAGGAGTCCTTGGAGTCACTGGAGGGTGCTCTCCTCCTCAGGCAGGTGTCCCGGCTGGGCAGAGGAGGCGGCAGCCCCAACCCACCCAGCCCCATGCTGCTGAGCCCACCCAGGCCTGGGTAGAGGCCAGACTCCAGTCCGTCGGGGGGGTCCACGGATATGCAGGGCGGGCTCATCTTCTTCTTGCGGCGGGGCGAGGGCAGCGAGGTCTGGGCGGGGATCTGGCTCTGAATCTGCAAGCTGTCTGCCCGAGACACGAAACCGGAGGAGGTGGAGGTGGTACTGCGCTGGGGGCTGGAATCCACCGAGGAGCAGACTTCTACAGAGTGGCGTCGCGGGTCGTCCAACCAGGAGTAAGGGCGCGGCCTGGGCAGGAGGGCGCTGCGGCCCTGTGTGTCCGCGCTGTGGAACCTCTTCAGCTGCCGCAAACATGGACTCCGACTCTCCTGGCAGCCTGAGTAGCTACTGTAACCCTCGTTACCGCTATTGCCACTGTCCTCGGCCATGATGTCGTCGCTGCCGGCCAACCCGGCGCAGGTAATAAGAGACACTTCCTGATCCTCCGAGGCCTCCTCCTGTTGGTGCAGCCTGGCTGGTATGGGCGGAAGAGGCGAGGAGGCCGGGGGCGAAGGGGAGTGGGAGGCGAGGCAGTGCTGGTCGTGGTGCTGGGTGTGCACGCTGCTGGGGCGGGAGGGTTTGGGGGAGGCGCCTGGTGTGGCGGGGACCAGGCAGAGAGCAGGTTGCTGCTGATGGTGATGATGGGAGCATGAAGAAGGGGAGGCGGAGGCGGAGGAGGAGGGGGAGGAGGAGGAAGGGGACGGAGGGAGGCCCAGAGAGGCCACATTCACAAGTCCTTCACTGCTCTCCCCTCCGTCTGAACAAAGGGCCTCCTGAGAATCAGTAGACACTGCAACCTGGAAAACGGGGAATGGAGAGGGGGGAGGGGGGCGGCATTTGGGAGGGAAGGGTGAGGAGATGGAGGTAAATGTGCAATGAGAGGAAGGCAGGGGGAGGTATGGGAACAGAGGAGATGAGAGGGGGGGAGACTAGTTAGTGAGAAGTGATGAGGATGAGGAGAGCAGTTTGGGTTAAAGTTCACAGTCTGGCCAGCTCGGTCTCACAGTCCTCTCTGTGGGCAGCTTAGATTGCAACATCCTGCCATGAATTATAACAGAAATCCAGAGGTTGCACACTGCATTTCTCAATGTCAGCAATCAAGATAAAGATTTGTCAAGAGTGAGTTGGGTAAACAGCATCTGACATTACTGGATACTTTCTGTGCACTCTATCTGAATCTGTCTTTTTTTTTTTTTTTCATGAGCATCTGACAGGATTAACTGTCAAAGCCTCCCCCTGCCCTCAGATGTTTAAGCTTAACTGTACAGAATGACGTATATGCAGTTTGAAAAGATTTCACATTCTTCTGCTGAGGGGAGAAGGTTTTTCCTTACTTGCCTTATACATCAGTTGAGAGACAAATTTGTCACAGCTAGTTTGAGGCCGATTGTGGTTCAGTTTGCAACTTAAACAATTAGTTTTTTTTCTTTTAAAAATGGTCTTGTATTATCTAAAGTCAACTTTAAATAAGTCAAATTGACTGTGCTCAAACTCCCCAGAAATCACGACTCAGATTCTGTGGGTAAGTTTTACTCTGTATTTTTTTTGTTCACATGGGTTATGATCTTATGAACAGCAATGACTAATAATTAGGCTGGGCGATAAAACGCCAGCGATATGTGACGAGGAAAGACAATTCATCAATAGATATGAAAAAAATAATTTATATAAAGTTTGATAGTTTCACTTAAATGAACCATGAAGGCACATAATGAAAACAGAAACTTTGGCTGAATGAACAAACTCCAATCGTGGATTATAAACAGCCTGTGATGGAGGTATTTGTGTGTGTTTTTGTTCAGATTAAAATCATGAACCATGTAACTTGATTAATAAGCCAAAGTAATTAAAATCAAAGCAGGTTGATTAAACTTAAATTCAACCTTTCTTCTCCTCGTCGTTGTTAAATACGGCTTTATAAAAATGAGCAATAATTATTTAAATCAACTAAAATTAGACATTTTGCTCCGACTATGTGTTGCCCAGGAAAGTATATGATGCTGTTTTTTATTCCTTCTTCCTTTTTTTTTTTTTTCTCTGGAGGACATGAGGACTGATTGATCGCTGTGAACTCTGAGCCAGACCACATGACCCTCTAACCTTTGATCTTTCACTCAAAACCCTGTAAGCCTTCAGTTGAGTAGAATTTACAACCAATTTCTCATCAGTCTTTCCACACCTTCGTCCTTACCTCTGTACAGAACCATCTACAGGGCGTGAGGCCAACAGGCAGAGGGTGAACATAATATGTTGCTACTGTAGGCGGCTGGTAACCACAGTGATTGCTAAGATGACCCCACGAACTCACGACTTTTTCCTCATCCCTCACAGACCTGAGAGGAAATTACTAGCACTTGAATTTAATTATGCTGAATTGTGTCAATTAACGTAAGATCTACGGAGATGAGGAAACAAGGCATGCATGAGGTGTAGAGAGGAGCACTTTGAGAAGAGTTTGGAGTCATGGGTTTCCCTGCATGAGCCTGAACAGTGTGACCACAGAGACATCTAGTGGTCAAAGATATCATAGCCAGACCAATCACCAGCCACAGCAATGCAACACCAGGTAACAAATGATACTAAAAATGACCACCCTGTCAGAGTTTGTTTCTTAATTTTAACAAAATCAGCTTAAGTATAATAAGTACTGCACTGTGGTTAACAACTATATATTGTTCAAGCACTAACCTACGCGATACAAAATTCTCTGATGCTCCATCATCATGACACTGTGAGTACAAAATGGCCAAATGCACACGGACAGCACTTGCTGTTTTGTAACAATCCCCTGAGTATAGTTTGTAATATATTAAGAGCACTGTATTGTGGGTGAATGTCGTAGCCACATTACATCTGCATCCTGCTTGAATACATTCTACCACTCTACTGAACATCCAGTAAAGCATTGTTACATAGCTCCAGCTCCAGAAAACAACTACCTGCTCATAAGTTACAGATGCTCTGTGGCTGATGGTTAGCAGTAGACACACATCTGAGTGAATGAGAGCGAAAGGGAGGGAAGAAAGAGGGGAGTCTGTGTATCTGTTTGTTAGTGTGTCAGTCTCTCTGAACATGAACATGGAGTCCAGTGTTTCTGAAAGGCCCAGTGGTAGCTCAAGTCTGCTGTTAGTCGCTGTTTCAGAAACAGGAGTATCTGTGTTTGAGCAGGAGCTCAGGGTCGGGCGGTTTTTGGGCCCAACTGAGCTGAGATCAAAGAGTAACAGATACAGCGTGGGCGAAATGAGACAGAAGATCAGTTCATTAGAAATATGAGTACCAGGAGGACAGGGAGAGAGACAGAGGAAAGAAAGTGAAACTGTTTAGATCATGCAATGTGGAAGGTGATAAACCAATGATTCTCTACAGTGGAGTAGTAGAGCCACTCTTGGAGAAAAAATGTTAGATTGCAAGAAAATGCGCATATTATCTTGAGAAGGCAATGAAATAAATTAAATAATCTTTAATCAATTTCTCACTAACAGTTGTTCTTTTAAATTAGCTGAAGCATTGGTGTGGCCGTCTCAAGAATGCAAGCACAACAGGCTGTTACGCTACTCTGACGGTAGATCATATCACCGAGCATCAGTTAGCTTAGCTTACTTACATAACTTTTGCATTTCTATGGTGAGCTGTAGAGATGTTGGTTAGCACGTTTTCACTTTTGGACAGGGCCAAGCTAGCTGTCTCCCCTTGCTTCAATTCCTGATGCTAAGCTAAGCTAACTCTTTAACCAACAGACCTTAAAGAGGCATCAATCGGTTTATCTAATGTTGGTAAAAAAGTGAAAAAGTATGCTTCCCCAAATGCTAAACCATTCTTTTAATTGTATTTCAACATATCAACCTGTTCATCACTATCCTTTATAATGTATAATAATCTGTTGGGTGGCGAACCAGTAAAGATGGAGGGTCTAAATTATTACTGGAAATGAAAATACAGCTAAAAATGTTGTTTTATTGTTGTTTAAGGACTAAACTTGTAGTTATCACCCTCATTACATAGAATAGCAGTATGAGCTTTTGTGTTAGGAGTTAAATATGTGCTACATGTAGTATTTCTAAAAATAGGGCTTGATGCACCATCACAGTTTCTTGTGTGTAAACAATGATTATTTAAAGCTGTGCTACAAGTTATTACATTAAAATAAAGAGATATCGATATGAAGTAAGTACAAAAGAGGAAATGTAAAATATTGTTATGGCTTTAAAAATTTTAGCTCTGTTGTAAATATCAGATTTTTTATGAGAACTATGACTTTCATTTTTAGGTTTTTAACTAAAGTGGTCCTAATACTTTGTTGTAATTCAAAAGCCATAGCTCAACATCCCAGCAGCTGTTTTGAACATCAGCTCTTTGTTTGACTGGAAACTGCTTTAATTAATAAAAATCAGCCTGTGCAGTGGTTGGTATGAACAGAAATTTCCAGACTGATGAGCCTTAGTCGCACATGGTTGAGACATTAAACACATTAATCATCACGTACAGTCATGATATGACAGGACAGACGTAGAAAAGTGATTTTGGAGTGGAGTGGACTTTCGAAAACGTCTAGCTACCTGTCTGCGGAGCGTGCGGCTGAATGTGTGTGCGCGTCTGGGAGGGGGTTGCCGTGGTATACTCTCCGAGTCTGAGTGGCTGTGAGGGCTGATGGGTCTGAAGAGGTCTGTGGGAACAGTCAGCTGCTGGGAAAACTCCTCCGGTTGTGAACGCACCGAGCCACTGGAGCCTGCACACAAAGCACAGCACTGACAGGTGAATAACAGCTAAGTAGGTACAGCAGACAGCTGCGCTATGAAGTGAGACTAACGGGCTAGCAGGTACGGTGAGCCGAAAGTCTGAGTTATCAAAGGTGGGTCTTTGTTAACCTGCTGCGTCACCATGGTAACTGATGCTGCACAGATAACCTGCTTCAGAGAAGGTTCTGTTCAGAGTTTAGGATTTAAAGCAGCTGTAAGGAGAATCACTCTTTCAGAGATTTGTTTCCTGTCTGATGACTGAAACTGATTCAAAACTAAGAGAATATGTTAAAAACCCGTTGAGTAATCCCACTGAACAAAGCCATGCCGTTACAGTAGCACAAACTGTACGTGTTATGTTACCACAAGAACCTACATGTACTCAGATGGTAATGTAGAAAATGCAGAAATATGTGTTTATGTTTGGTTGAGATTTGCTGCTCAATCTGTTTTATACTGCCAGTACTGCAGCTAATAGAACGCAGATTATAAAACTGATTGGTGTTTGTTACCGAGAATATTTAATCATTAACATTCATTTAAGTTTGATTTGGCCAAAACCTGAAGCTTCCATGTATCTTTCATCATGTGACAGTGTCAAATGTAAATGCCCTTGTTGTTTATCATGTTAAAATGCATGAAGTTTAAAGTTTAAGAGCTCTAATGAGCAGCTGTCATGTTGGAAATAAGCAGCTCCATTGAGAATGCACTGAATGAGTGATAAAATAAATGCAGTAACTTGTACGATTGACTGTTTTCTACCAGCATTCCTCTCTTGCATCATTTGCAGTCGCGGCAGTTTTTGCGTAATACTTTTATATTCTTTTTAGCTCTCTTTTATAACAACCTGTTCCTCCTAACTGAAGTAGGCAGCATATGATTGGTCCATTTTGTGTGAGAGAAGAGTCACATGACACGTGAAGCACCTTTTTTTAAAATCTGAGTGTCAGAAGTAGAAATCCTTGTTCACAAAGAAAAGTTCATGTTTTACCCATTATCTTTGTTTGAGGTTTTAGGTTTTGTTCAACCAGCTAACACAGGAAAGCCTGACTTAAGCCCGGTTTACTCATAGCAAAAACAGTGATATTTCAATGCGTTTTGGCCTTTGGTTTACACGTAAATGAAGCTACAAGTCACTGAAAATGATCATATCTGAAAACTGCAGCCAAAGTGGAGATTTGGAAAAACTCCATCTTTATGTTTGCATGTAGACAGGAGGAGACGGAGTTTGACGTCACAGCAACAAACGCGTCACCAGCGTCATATGTTGCGACCCATGCTTACAGTTTGGCTACTGTTGGGTAAAAACAGTGCCAGTATGTCCATATACTTGGACTGACATGTCTCCAGTCAATATTTAAGTATTTTACTTTTTTTGTACTCTAACGCCACATTCAGGAGTAGCTCCACTTGTCTGTCGGTCCAAACAAAGGACCCTCGGGTGTGAACAATTTTATTTTTCAAAATGTAAATCGTTTTTTGTAAATACCCGACTATGTTTAATCGTGGCCTAAGTCAAACTTGCTTCGTAGAACACCCCTCAGAGGAAATAACCTGCAGAAATGGGAGGCCTTGATTTTTAACAAAATACATTATAATAGGCCTTTATCAATGCAAATTTCCCTGCTGTGGGATTAATAAAAGGCTTATTGTATCATATTGTGTTAAAAATCAAGGCCTCCCATTTCTGTCCTGATTTAATAAGATGTCACAAATTGATTAAAACTAACTGAAAAGCTACCAGGCAGCAACTTATCGGAACATTTCTTTAAAATGACAGCTCCTGCGTTACCTGATTGGGCCCTGTGGGTGCCCAGTATGTGCTGGGGCCCCTGTGACTGTGCTAGAAGCTGTGCTGGAGCCGGAGACGTGGGACCGAACGGGGGGAGGAACATGTAGCTGTCGTTGGGTAAGGAGTGTGTGCGCCCCACTGCAGGCTTTCTGACACTCAGCAGGTTGTCCTCCAGCGCTCCCTCCGGATCGAGCTGCTCTGGCTGGGGAAGGAGAGAAGAGAGTCAGGGTCCCTCTGGATTGAGGCAGGCTAGGGCTCATCTTTAACACAAGCACTCTCACACTCTAAGGCATGTTATCTCTCTCAGACACAATGTGAACAAAGAGGCAGTGGTCATCAGCATACACAGAAAACAAACACAGTCTTTGCACATTGGAGTTGACTGGCACAGAGCTGCCACAGATCACAGAAACTTTTTCAATTTTTTTTTTTTTTTTTTTAAACATAAGACACTCTGCGTCTCGTGTCTGCTTTTACCCCGCAGTGATGTAACTTTACGTAAGCCTACTCCGTGATTGTGTGTCAGCTAGGGCAGTGTCCTGCAGCCTGACCCATTACAGAACCAGTTCGCATTCAGTCACAGAGCTACTGGAGCTCTAACACACCTCACAATCCTGCAGCAAACACATGACAGCTCAGAGTAAACTGAGAACCACTACAACCAGGAGACAGGAGACAGTACGAACACAGAGAGGAGACTGATAGGAAAGGACTGTGAGAAAAGACGTCGACTCACACGTAAAGCACAAAGGAAAAAAGACAGGAAACCGAAGGAAAGAAAGAGGGAAAAGAACAGAGAGAAAGAGATTACAGAAGGGAGATTGAGGAGAAAAAAAAGGAGTAGAGACGAAGGAGAGAAAACTGCAAACTGGCAGGTGAGGAGGCGCACTACTCTACTGCACTGGACTGGACTGGACTGGACTGGAAAGTAACAACACACCAGGCTGGAAAGGTGGAATGAGAAAGATAAGAGAAAATTGGTGGGCACATGGTTAGATTCACCAGGATCTTTCAATGCCACTTGCACTCCTCTACCTCTTCACTCCCTTCTGTTTGTTTGTTTTTTTAATATCAGTCCCAATACAATCCAGTTGACAGCATTGTGTTGGCCGGCGTTCTATTTTCTGATGATATATAAATCGATCCCACTGTAATGCTGGCTCGGATGTGCAGAATGAGCCAAGGTTACTGTGACCCTCTGTGGGGGAGCCATGGGATTATTAATGAGCCAAACTGGTGGGTAATTATACTCTGACACCCCGATGACATTCAATTCATTTTCAATCTAATGACAGAGCCCCGCGGGATGGGATATCATCGAGGAACGTATAGATTCATTCTGGTGCAGATGCACACATAAGCTACAATGCATGACAGTGTGTGTCAGTGTGAGAAAGTAATGGATGAGGTGGTGCCACGATGTAGAACACTGGCTTTCCTTCCAGCGAGGCCAATATTTTCTACGAAAACACACTTCAAAGTGTATTATTGGGCTCATACAATGATCATATAAAGCAGATGTCTTGATTTGTTGAAATGTCTCAGTGTGATGTGTTTGCACACTTTGTTTTATTGGTCTGTGGTTTCCTAAAATGGTGTAATTTAGGACAGAGGTTCTGTGCAAGTTTAATCAGTTGTGTTACTTTTAAAACACATCGTTGATTACTTTTCAAAAGAAATTTGGCCAAAAAGCCCAATTTAATAGCAAGTAATTTTTCCATATTTATTATTGGAGATGTCACTCTTCATACACTTAGAATTGTTTGCTTGCCTTTAGACAACATTTAAACGAAGTAAAACCTAAAGCTGCTGAGTTTTTAACCACAAGTACCTTTGTGGAGCATTGCTTTACAATAGAACATCTTTTATTAGTCCCACAAGGGGAAATTTGCAACTTCACAGCAGCAAAGTGACAGTAAGTAAAGCAAGGACACACAACTATACATTAAACAACAGAAGAACACAAGGTTACTGAGAACACAATTGTCAGTTGTGCTTCTGTATGTCTGTCAAGCGAATCTGAAGTGAACTTTTGCAAAAAAAAAAAGAAAAGAAAATGTGAATTAGGCTTATTTCTATTCACAGCAGTGAATAGTGGCGGTACAGTCTATGTTATGCAGCAGACAGTAGAAGACAAAAGCAGTTGTTTGCCAACTGCAATAAAACCTTAAAGAAAAGAAGAAACAAAAGTCTTATGTTGTCTTATGTTTCACTGTCTAGATGTGAAGATGACGAAAAAAAGTGGAAACAGCTGATCAGTCATTGAGTTAAATGTTTGATACATAAGAAATTATATGTAAAAGATGTTTCACCGATTATTCATGCTGCCTCCTTTTTTGAAAGACAGATCCAGCTAAAGAGAAAACTTTTGAGAAAGAGCGGAATTTTGGGGGGGATTTTGCAAACTTCCTAAACCTCTTTCAAATAAGATTCAAATGAGTGTTTCAGTTTCGAGCTATTCCACTGATCAACAGGTGGTGGCGACAATGTGTCAAAGAACACAGCAAATGTGCCTGCAAAGGTGAGGAAGAAGCAAGACTGGAAAGACACAACAGAAACTTTGAAATTCTGCACATCGTGGCTTTAAATAAGTGTTTTCAGATTGGCTACAGATGCAAATTAGCTGTTATCTAACGTAGCATCCAGTTGGTTTCGCCAACAAAAGCCTGTTTAACCCCAGTGTGAGAGTGTAGTGGCGGAGGGCGGACAAGTGGCTTTGAAAGTGTCCCGGGAAGTAGACAGTACAAGCTACTGCAGAGGAGAGTAGGAGGAAGAGGGATGGAGCGAGAGAAAGAGAGGAACTGTCAGTACATTGCATTCCAGACTGGTTAGAAAGAGGGGGTTAAAATCGTCGGGGGCCGAGTCGTCTGTCAGAGCTAAGGACCAGGATTTCTCAGAGGCCAGAGACAGAGCTTCCATCTCCGCTAGAGGGATCTAGGCAGGAAGAGACAACCGCTGGTGAGCAGAGAAAAAACAAAATGCGCACTCGGTGCAACACACAAATAGAGAGGACGTTACACACAGATAAGACCTGCAGCTAACAGAGAAATACATGTTTGAAACGACATATGTAAACTGCAAGTATGTAGCGCAGAGAAACAACAAGAGAAGGAGACAAAGTCTTGGCAGAATACATGATGACATTTTTCTCACATTTAGACTTTTTAATCTGTTTCTATCACTCTGTTTACTGACATCGATAATGTGACGGGGACCAGACACACACATAAATATATATACACAGGATGCACGTGATTCTGAACAGATGCAAGTGAGACAATCACAGGAACGAACAAGCAGACAGGAGGGTGACTGATACGCATTAAATGTTTTGTCATGTACAATAATTACTTTGTGGTGCCTAATTGTTAAAAGCACATTAGCAGAATCGAAAATTCTACATCTCTGCACAGTTTTGGCTTCAGTCTTGGAGTATTTGCAAGTCTTAAGCACTTCTGGCTCCCGTAAGAAGAGCTGCCGTACATTTGGCCTTACACTGGTTTAACAAGTGAAATGCTTTCTGACAGGCAAATGGGCCATCCGTGCAGAGAGGGACAGGGGTTGAAGCTCAATGGAAAACATCTCTGCTAACGTATCAGAGGGAGAAAGTTGGCCTGTGGCGCCCAATCCTGACATCTCAAACCCATTTAGAGCTTTTAGAGGATGGGTTTTTTGCAATGCTAATGTAATTGTGCAAAATTTGTTCAAAATGAGAGGAAGTGGAACCCAGATGCATTATTCAGTGACTCACTGATCCATAGCTTATTGATTGAGTCATTTCTCTTCAGACGTGTGTGTGTGTGTGTAACGGTGTCGGGGATGCCTTAGGTGGGCTGTCACTTTTTATGTGGCCGTAATCACCGATATAAACGCACAAACACGTCGCACCCACACGCAGACATACAAACGCTGACAGCGGGGTTGTGTAGGGGGGAAAGAAAGCAAACTAAACCACTGAGGCTGCTGAACCAGACCAAAAAAAACCTGCCAAGCATGAATGAGTATAAGTGAATGAGGGAATGAGATCATAGCTGAGGCGGGATATGACGCACTGCACTGTGGTGGGCAACGGGGCTGGTTAGAAAGGGAAAAATATTCAATGTGGAGGAATGCCAGTACAAAAATGGTAATGGCTGTAGGGCTGCAGGATATTTAACAAACATCACATTGCATGCTTTTTTTTTTTTTTTTTTACTGAATTATGAAACTAAGCTCTCCCAGACAGTATGTACTTTAGTTTGCACAACTGCCGACTTTATAGGCCAAAGATTATGTGGTCGAAATAAAATGTGTCTAAGAAACTCAGTCTGGTACTGAGTTATTAAATTTTATTTTCACTGAAACCAACATTAAAAGTAAAGTCTGCCAGATACTGATGAGATTATTTCAACTGTTTCCTATTAAAAATCACTTGTTTTAAGAGGAAGCATAGCTCACCTGCATACTTGTGGGGCAACCTGTCTCTTTTAAAGGATCTGTTCACTCAACTTAGACATCTTTCTTGTTAACCGCTGTTGTGTCTGAACCGTCTTTACTTGTGCCCTCTTCTGACAGGAACCTGTGAGCTATTATCCACTGCAGGAACTTGTGGGCAGTTTTAATGCAGCTTGAACTTTTGTGTATTTTCCAACCGCAGAAACTGCCCCTGTAGAGCCTTTTTCAGGGCTTTTTTTTGGGGTAGGGGGAACAGTACTTACTCTAGGGTAAGCAACTCTGTAACACAACAGTGCAAGTCTTGATGCTAAATGGTTAAGACGAAGACTAAGATTATTTAAACTCATGATGTCTTCATCTAGTAGCAGTCCTCTCCTCTGTAACATCACCTTCAATAATGTACAATTCACCATATAAGCTAACATAAACCCTACATTGTTCTATTTATTTCACGCTCATCTAGTAAGTAGTGTTAGTGGTTGTTTTGGTGCACTTGAAGTTAAATGTTTTGGCAGGCAATCGAATCAGAGAAGCTAAAAAGTTTGATTAGAGGGTCGCTCCTCTAAACATTCGCAGCACCTCTCGCCTGGTTCCTGCACTGGAAAGTCACGTCATGACACATTATCGTGAACTTTAAAACAGTTCACTCAAAGAATAATTGTCCTAAGCAACAGGAACATTACAGTATCTCATGAGGGAAAAGGCTAATAGTAGAGAAAAATATTGATTACCAGAGTTTTGTTTTTCAGTAATTACCTTGGGTCCTACATTTATCTTGTGACATGTTGTGAGCTCGGAACCCCCCAGGTTGTTAAGCACTGCTGTCACTGTATGCAACCATGCAGATAGGTTTCGTTTATCCTTCCTAGACTTCTCCCTCCAACTAAATACAATAGAGGTGAGTACAATTTTATTTCACAGCCTTTATTACTTGTTTAAGGAGAAACTGTGTAAAACTGCATCACTTGCACATAATATGTAATATACTATTATGCGCAAATGAGAGGATAAAAAGCGACATCAGCAACGTCTGTATTTCAGTTTTGATCTCAGGATAATTTGTGCAGCCCTACATGTTGCAGGGAAATAAGAACCAGGGGATGTATGAAATGGAGAAGGTGAGTCATTCAGGAGTGTTTCTGGTGGTTATTGACCTTCTTGTCGGTGCTGTGCTTGCTGGGCTTGGGGGGCAGCGCGTAGTAGTGGCAGATAGAGCCGGACAGGTTGTCCATCAAGCTCAACTCCCCCTCCATTGAACCCTGGATGACCAGGGAGACCGAGTCAAACAGCGCTCTCCGCTGGACAAACTTGAATGATGCAGAGAGAAAAGAGAAAGAGAGCAGAGGCAGAAATGTAGGGGGAGGGAAAAAAAGAAAGGACAGAGAAAAGGAAAGACAGGAGTCCACACAGAGATACATGGAAATGGGGAAAGAAGAATGGATCACAAAGGAAGGAAGCAAGGAAGGAAGGAAAAAAGACAGTCGATCAAGTAGAAACAAACAGATACAAACACATATGACAGAAGAAACACATCCCAGCAGGACACTAGACTCTCCACCAAACTTCAATCAGCAGATGTTTCACTAAATGACTTGTTAACACATTCGAGCAGTACGCAACAAGATAACATACTGTACACCACATCATCTTCAGCAGCATTTCCACAAGCTCACGTGTTACCATTTAAACCCACAAGGGGGCACTACAACACTGCAGCAGAGCAGCAGGGCCGGAGAGGAGATTGTGGCTTAAACGCTCGTGTTTTGGAAGAGCGGCAGAGGAAGATGGATAACATCTTAGAGGAGAAACATAACGATAGTGAGACCTCTATTTCCTATCCCCAAAAGTTCCCCGCTGTCTGGAAATAGCTGTTGAAGTGAACAACAAGGCCCTGCGGTCCAGTTTTCCCATGGCACTGTGACCTGTCTATGACTGGCATGTCCTCTACAGGGACCAGCCGCACAAAAATACACACACACACACACACACACACACACACACACACACACACGCAGTCACGAGTGCACACAAACTGTAAACCATCCTAATATGGGTCAGCATAGGTCACAGAGAATAATACATTTGCAAATATAGTTACATTTTCTGTATACATTTTTGAGTAGACAGAAACCATAGCAGCCCACTCACTTTCAAACAAGTGTCTGATATGTGAAGACAATATGTCAGCGCTGAAAACTGTGCAGCACATGAGTGGTAGATAAAACACCTTTCACAGTGAAAAGGTTATCTACAAGTATCTTGGTCTAGAGGTTTGTTTCTAAGGGTATAATTACATCTATGACCCCGGTTTTCACATAAATGCATCCGCATATGTTTTTGAAATTATGCCAGACTGTCAAGTGAATACAGCCTAATATAGCCATGTCCGCCTCAGTTTATTTACGCATCGACTACAGTTATTACACCAAGACGGCAAAGAGCAGGAAAAGCAAGAAATCCATTATTTTAGATACCATCCGGCATGCTCAGCATTCCTCAGCATGAGCCCGAGAATTAACTAATGGGTTGGACTGGAGTCAGGACTAATGACCAGAGACGTAGGGGTCATCTGACTGGTCTCACAGCCTGGACCACAGCATGGAGTGACCTCAGAACATATATCATGTCACGCAGGATGCTGCTTGGATCCCTGAGAAATGCATAATCTGGCCTAGACATCATCTGAACGGGTGTTCTGTTTGCGTGAAATAATGTGAATGTTAATTAATACATACTCCAAGAAAACAGAGTGATGAAGGATCTTTGACGTAGCTACAATGTCACATGTGAGACAACTGCCATCAGAATCGCAACCAAAAACACACTTGCTTTGTCTAATGCACACACATACCGTAGCAGTGGCAAAACAGATTGTTTACCTCCAGCTGGGGCTCCAGGCATGAGGAGGGTTCTGCTCTGATGTTTACAGAGTCTCTGGTTATATCAGCAGTGGGTGAGTCCATAGGACCTTCCCTTTCCTGCTCCATGTCCCCTCCAATAGTGGACCTCCAGGGGGAACCCCCAGAACTCGACCTGTCCAAGCCCAGTGCCAGAGGGTTGAGCTGGGGCGACCCTGCTGCCATGCCCCCTCCGTCCATCTGGAGCTCCAGTTCCAACTCCGCTTCCAGCTCCGCCTCCTCCTTGGCTTCCTTGTTGCTCTCCTCCAGGTGTTTCATCAGGACCGCAATGACCACGTTGACCAGAACAAACTGAGCGGTCAAGACGAAGGAGACAAAGTAGATGGGAGAAACCACAGTGTTGTAGCAGGTGGTGGTCCCGGTCGCGCAGTCCCTCAACGTGTCCTGGAAAAAACAGGAAAACACTACATGAGCATATCAACTAAAACTTTAGCAGCACTTAAGCAGTATTCAGTCACTTATCTGAGCCATCATGTATGTATATGTAGACAACTTCATAGTCATAAAATATGTTCTCCTCAGGATTAATCATACTCATCTTGTGATAACGTTTGTCACTTTTCATCAACAACATCATCTGGACAACATTTTCTAACTTTTCTTAACCCAATGAGTCCTCAGGCATTTTCAAGACACCTCCTTTGCTTTTAAGCATCTTGGTCATTTTAAGTGCTGATAATGCATACTGTATTGGGATATTTTCACAACAGTTGAGGCTATCCAGATCTTGCAACATTTGATATTAAAATACTTGCACTTGACTTTTTTTTTTATATTAGCCTTACATCAAGGAATTCTTTTTTTTCATAGCGTTCCATAGTTATATAGAGGAGATTGTGGAAATGTCAGAACCTTGATGGTGGTATTGTAGGAAAAGTATGTGCTCAACGGAAAACATATAATTATTTCATACACATAAGTGTTCACATACGGTATATAATTGTAGAAATGGCAAACCAGGCAAACGTTTGTCCCCCATTCTCAACCCCACTCCACCCTGAAGGGCGCCCCCAATTGCCACTTTGCCTTGGGCCCCCAAAAAGTCTAGAATTTCCACTGCCTTTTTGTGCACAATTGACCTGCATTTCTTTCTTTTCTTTTTTTTGGACCCCAACTTTTAAATCATTACAAAAAAAAGCACATTTTTGTTTGGGGTGTATTTTTCATACAGAGTAGGCTGTAATGTCAGCCCTGTGTTGGAGACAATTATGATATTTGCTGCAATTTCAAAACTGGCTTGGTCGTGGACAGAGGAACAACAGGTAGCATCAGAAAGAGTGAGCTGTGTTTATTTTGATACGTGAAGAAATCAGTGAATATATTACTTTGCAAAACTTTGATCTGTCTTGATAGCTGGGTAACTTTGGTATGCACTAATATGGAGCAAAAACACATGTCAAAGCTCTGGCTCTGCTTCTTCTTGTGACATGATAACTACAAACCTGTGCAATGAAGAGTTCCTGAGCAATTTAAATAAGAGTAAAGGGTGTGGAGATGGATGAAGAGAGGTAAATTTACAGATAAATTTGGTGTAAATTTAAAACGTGCGACATTTCATCACAAAGAAAAGCAACTACAATAGTAGGAAAGGTCAAGTTGTGCAGTTTTATTTAAATTGGACCACACCTCACTGGAATAAATACTAAGAGACGAATTCAACTAAATGTGGAAGCAAAGAGTGTCTGTCAAGACCTTCCAAATACAAAAACAAAAATATTCCAGTCATCTTTGGCTGGCATTTGCTTTTACCTCTAATTCGTAAGTGACACCAAGGATAAAGGAAACATGGCTACTACGTTAGCATACCGGTGTAAATACGTTCTGCTCAAGCAAGAATTAATGGAGTTTAAGAGTTTCGTACTTGAAAAAAAGGACTGCAAATCTTCAGCAAATATACCCCTTAAGGTTTTTTTTTTTTGCATTGTTAATAAATGGAAAATATCAGCATGGCACAAAAAGCCACAGGTGGGCGGTGAGGTCATGACCTCAGCACTATTTTTTTCTGCCTCACTACATAAAGGGCACACCACTACTGTAAGCAGTGCATTTGCAGTAGACGAAGTGTAAATCATCCAATTTATTAAGTGATTTAAACATGACTTGCAGGGTTACTGGCGTTAAATAGAACTCTGAGACAACAGACAAACAACCAGATAGAAATATCTGAAAATTAGAGAAGTTGTTTTAACATAATGGATCAATGTCTACATACAAATGAATAAATGTGTAGTGTGTGTGTGTGTGTGTGTGTGTGAGTAAACATTCTGGATGTACAGTGTTAGTTTCACCTTCATTATGCCGTTCCAGTTGTCTCCGGTGGCAACTCTGAAGAGCAGCAGAAATGCCATCCCAAAGTTCTTAAATGTAGCATATCGCCCCAGACCCTCACATGGGTGGAGCTCATCGCAAACTGGGGAGACGAGAAATAGGAGGGAGGAGATAACGGGGGGGAGGAATAGCCAAAAGAGAGTAAAAAAAAAAGACATTAGAAAGATAGCAACTTCCGTGGTTTTTCCTAGGGCTTTGCAATGAGAGGATAATTACTGTGACACTACGAGACACAATTAGAGCGATCAATATGGTATTTCAACAAAGGATTCTAGAAAGCAATTAACATCATATAGATTAAACCCACAGAGGGAAGAATTAAACACCCAGTGCATGTCTGTGCGTGACCTGCGCAGGATGCACGAGCGAGAGTCTTTACTGCCTCGGTGTTTGTTTTGCGAAGTGCATGTGCTCTTACTTAAGTCACCAAACAGCTCCACTCCCAGCGCTGCGAAGATAAAGAACAGGAGCATGAAGAGGAGACCCAGATTGCCCACCTGCAGAGAGACAAATGGAGGAGAGAGAAGGATTAGTCAGAGGAGAGAAATCGCAGGCAAAATAAACCAATAAGGAAGGACAACAAACAACTCATTCCAGGGAAGAAAAACTAAATGGAGGGTCGTGATGAAGAAGTCAGGGGAGAGAGTGTGGCTGCTTATGAAGTTTGCAGGGGGTGCACACATTCAGACTGCTTGGTGGGTTCTAACAAGATTTTAGCTAACCGTTTTAATCAACACAGAATTTTTATTGTTTGTCGACTCGATAATGAAATGCCCATTCAGAGGCCATCTGAATCATTCCCCAGACACCTGAACGCACCTGGATACACAATCTCTCTGTGTTCTCATCAAAGGCATGTGATCCCCTCGGAGTAATAAACATCTTCCTTACAACTTTTTCGGAATTGATGTAACTTACTGCACAAGTAGTCCTTGTTATCTGTTTTTTGTAGAGCTTGGCTCTGATAGATAGCACTAGTTAGTAGAAAGCAGCACTTTTTTAAAAGATGCCTACCGTTTACCACCCAACAGAAAGGTCAGTATGATCCACAGCAAATCTGTAATACTCTGTAATAATCTGTAATCTAAATGTAGCAGACGTTAAAAATCTAAATAAAGTGATTGAGAAATGCATCATTGCACCAGCAAATGCAGAGACCAGTGTATGATGCAAAGCAGTGTTTTCAATGGAAACTGCACCAGAGGAATATTCATCAGAGGGAGGATCAGCCACAGATGATGATGTTTACACATCTCAGATTTGATGCCGCTACAAAATGTGGTAAGGGCTTTGCATCTTAATAGCACAGCGCAGTCTGCTGTGGTGGACCACCTGATTAAACTTTTACCACACATATGTAGATTTTTTAAAAATCTGTGTTGTTGTTTTTTTTTGTTTTTTTTGTTTACGTCTGCAAGCAATTGACATGGGGTGAAATAAGTTGACATACACGACTAATAATGCTCCTGAACGGCCAATGTCCTGTTGTAACAGCAGTAACCAGGCACAGCGAGCTGCTCATGCTTTGTATTTGTCTACTGGTGGATATGGCGCTGGAGTGACTGACACTTTGTTTAACCCTTTCAAATACATTTTCAGAAATGTAAGGAATGATGTAAATAGCATGTCCATCTGCTGTAATGTAAGCTGCATATATTAGCATGCCTGACAACCAGACTCTGCACAGGAGTGACTCAGGTTGGTGTTTAAGTTCTGCCTCCTGCCCATAGACTGTATATAAAGATGGATTTTTTACAACCTAACTGTTGATCTTTCAGTTTCTTTTTGTGATTGTGTAAGGTCTTCTCCTAACTATGTTGAATGCCTTAAGATGTAATATGTTGGAAGCTGGAGCTATAGAAATAAATCTAAATTGAGTTAAATTGAATTGAACCAGGGGCTGCACGGTAGCTTAGGGGTTAGCACCGTCACCTCACAGCTAGAAAATATCCACAGTCTAGAAACATGTTGAGGTTAACTGGTGATTCTAAATTGTCCGTAGGTGTGAATGTGAGTGTGCTTGGTTATCTGTCTACAAGTGTAGCCCTGTGATAGACCAGCGACCTGTCCAGGGTGTACCCTGGCTTCGCCCTGAGTTGGCTGGGATAGACTCCAGCGCGACCCTAGTGAGGATTAAGCCGTGTATAGATGATGAATGGATGGATACATTGAACCAGAAGAGTCGCCCCCTGTTGGCTGTTTGAAAGAATGCAGGTTTAAGTCACTTCCTTTGTGGCGTCACTTGTCAGACGTCAGAAGACATTTGTTTTTTTATAGTCAACGTGTTCTTCTTTCTCAGACTCGATACTACAGTTAAAGGGAGCACATGAGAAGGAGCTGCTGATTGTGGACAAATGTTGAAAGGGAGAATAAGGATTTACAGCTTGGATACAGAGGTGGGTTTAGGTAAAGAAACGCTTTGGGGTCTGCTCCTGTCATTGTTAATCAGCACGTAGCAACCTGCTCACACCCCCACCACCCCCTATATGATTGTATTTATTATGAACATTTCTGACAAGCTTGGGTGGAAATTAGCCTGGAACAACACTCATTCTCTGTCTCTGAATGAAAACAACAGAAGCGGTATCAAAGGATGCTGAGAACATACAACGTTGTGTTTTTATTTTTGTTTCTCACTCAATCTAAACTACTGCAGAAGTTGCTCTAATTTACCGACTCCATCATCCACCCACCACTGTACATAACAAAACCTCAAGCTACATTCACTTCCCGGTCTCTGCAGGGGGCTGATAATGCAAATAAGGGTCTCTAGAGTTAAGTGGAAAAAAAAAAAAAAAAACACTCATGGGAAAAGACGACGCCCCGAAACAGAAGAATATGTACCAAAAATAAAATTCTTCTGGGGTGTATTTTTAGGGACAGCTTCTGTGGGATGTGTTAGGATGTGAAATCCATGGAGGAAAATATAGATGAGGAAGGAAAGAAGAATTGAGTGGCTTTGGCGGATGTTATTTAGCGGCGTTGACTGCGTACCTGAGGCAAGGCTTGCATAACGGTGTCCAGCAAAGCTCTCATCCCCACCGCCATCTTCAAGAGCTTCAATACTGCGGGGACACAAGCGTACAAACACAGAGAATGAACAAGTGTCTCACCAATATTAAGATTTTTCATTCTTACATAACACAACAGAACAGGGCCTGGTGCCACCATGCCTTCTGTGAAACTGAAAGGACACAACATTTTCCTCACTTACAGTGTAATCCTGCTCGGTTAGTGTAGTCACAGATTTCCTTGTATTGAACGAGATTTAGCTTTCAGATGGCACGATTGAGGTCACAGCCTCCTGACTGGGGGAGGTCACTGATACTGAGATTAGGTACCAGTGGGGGTACATTAATAGTGATAGATGATACAGAAAAGTAGAGACGAACACAAAAACACTGAGGTGACACAGTAAGGTAAGAATCCTCATTTATCTTGGGTGAGGAAAGTGTTGTTGCAAAAAACAAACAAACACAAAAAAACACTTGAACACCTCTAGAGTTGGTCAGAGAAGCTTTGTTGACAACAAAATCAGAAATCTACACCCAGAATAGAAACCATGTGCACTTATTTTTACAAATGTGTGCATGTAAGTTAAACAGTTGTGTATGAATGTCTCTCCGTTTCCTCAACCCCAACCAGGCAAGGCAGACGGCTGCCCTCACTGAACCTGGTTCTGCCAAATACGAGGTGTGTCAGAAAAGTTCCAGGACTGGTGTCACAAAAGATAAATTTGAAACGCAAACTACAAACTACCAGTTGTCCCCTTCAGACGATCAACCAGCACGTCTACAAAGAGATCCTGCGGCCTTTGCTTCATTCAGTGCGAGAGAAGAGGTGAGAGTTGTGGCAGGACAAGTTGAAGCTGCTTCACCATGACAACACGCCTGCTCACAATGCCCTGAGCATCCGACAGTTCCTGGCTGAGAAGAACATCGTCGTGCTGGAGCCTCCCGAATCACCCCACCTGACTCCATGGGGACCCGTTTTGAAGTCGTGGATGACATCAAGATGGCTATGATGATGGAGCTGTGGAGGATCCCGGAAGAATCCTTCCAGGAGTGCATGGCGGCATGGCAGAGAAGGCTGGGAAAGTGTGTTAGACTCCAGGGGGGATTACTTCGAAAGGGAAAACTTGTAGTTTGTATTTGAAATATATCTTTTGTGACACCAGTCCTGAAACTTTTCTGACAGACTTCGTATTTCTTCCTGTTGAAGGGGAGTGTTTTCCTCCAATTGTTGCTAGGTGCTTGTTCAGAGGGAGTCCTTGAATTTGTTGAGTTTCTCGCTGCAATTTTGTAACTCCTTCACCTTACTATGTGAACTAACTTGAGATGGCACATGGTATAAATTGCTGCTATATAAATACAACTGAATTCAAATTGAATTCTTCCTTTCTTTAACCCTCCTTTAACTTTGGGGTCAATTTGATCCCATTCAGTGTTTAAAATATCTCAATAAGTCATTGACATAATATTTTCAGTTTTATTTAAATACACATAAACTTAGGTAACAATTTTAATGATGATGTTTTTCTAAAATTGCTTGAACACAAGGATAAAAAATGTCAGTATATTTAAAGGTAATAGGAGGGTTACATTCCTCCCTACGACCTGTCCAGGGTGTCCCCTGCCTTCACCCTAAGTCAGCTGGGATAGGCTCCAGCTCCCCTGTGACCCTAGTGAGGATTAGGCGGTGTATAGATAATGGATGGATGGAAATTTTTCCCCATCCTCACTAAAACAATGCACTTTTTAATAGGACATATTATACTTTAGCAATAAATATGTGTGTGTGTATATATGTGTATGAATCTGATGGTTTACTGACTATTATTGCAGTCATGTATTTCCATGAAAGCAGTTCAGTTCACTTGGAAACAATATGAAATCACCAAAGTACGGGAAGCGGTTGGTCATGTAGAAAACATTTACAGATTCCAAGAAAACAGTTTCACTTTATGGGAAAGGGCTGCCTTTCAGGGAAACAGTGCCAAATGATAAGTGACCTCATTCATGCCATATAGAAGTTGCTGTATAACTAACTTTCTACTTAATAGCATTCAAGTTAACATCCAAATTGTAATTATAACTGGGAAACACAGATGCCTCACATCAGCCAAAGCCAATTGTTTGAGGTAATTAAGCCCTATTACAAATACTTTTGATGTAAAGTGAATGTGGCAGCATGAATCACTACTGGGTGTCCAACCAGTGGGTCCTTCCAGAAGATATTTCAACAAGCTATAGTTGAAAAAGCACCAGCGAAAATGATAAAATTAATGAATTCCATTTAAGCTGCTCCAGATGGAGGGCCTTGGTACGTGATGACAGTGTGCCATTGTGCTTTCTTGTAACGCCTTCCTCAAAAAAAGACTTACAGATGCACAATAATCCCACTTTTTCTCGGCACAGTTAAAAGTAAATTGGTCTGACACACCCAGGCGACTCCGCTTGTTTCCTAACTGTACCTGCTCTCTGCGCTGTGAGCGTAGCTTGATCGACATCTCCTGCGCTCTGTTCTTTTTCGTTTCGTTACACCTGTTTTGTTGCGGTCACACCATAAAGTGTAATAGGTGGAGCAGCAAGCCTGGTGAAAATGGACTCTTACTCTGCTTACTCACCCATTTTGTCCATCATTGCACAACCATTTCATTGAATTTAAAGTTACTGATGAGGGAAAGCAACAAACTTGTTCGCTCGTAGACTTAGCGTGGTTGCTGGACTGGACTTTCGCACAGTTCGTTTAAAAAGACGTATCTTTGACTGGTCTCACAGCTGTCTTGGGGTAGTGCTCTTTTGTGTAGCACTCTACAAGAAGTCAAATAGAAGTGAATAATGCAACAAAGCTAATAAGACAACACTGCTAAGAGGTCTTGTGTGAAAGTTCATCAAACTTTAAACTGCAGGGATTGACTTTGCCTCTTTGTGTGGATGCAGAGTTTCTACAGGAACAAATTGATTTAGCCATAAAATTTCACCGTTTAAAATCCTGGTGTAACCTTCTTAGTTATCATTCTTATTGGTTCATAAATTTTTATGACATCACATAAATGCAAGCATAGCTCCATTTATTTTTTTACTATTTTTTTTGACAAGTGTGTTTTTGGCACATGAGCTGAAGAGAAAAGTCAAAGCGTATAGGAGACGATACTTATTTCACGACTCTGAAATCTTATATTCTGAAAATAGACATTAATATTAAAACATTCTGCAATTTTGTATAAAGTAGCAACAATCCATTTATCTCGTCATGCAGCTTAAATAGAATCTTGGCTAAAATGGGATTGTGGGAATTCTGAGGGAGATCAGTTGTTTCATTTTAAGTAACACTTTTGTGGATGTATTAAAGACAAACCTGTAAAATTACTGCTAAGACAACATGGATGCAATAGTCATCCTTGTATTTTCTAAACATTCATGTATTTATTTTTAACCACACTGCATCTGTTAGCTCGGACACGAGAAACAGCACTGACGCTTTACTCTGACTAATTCTAAGACTGCGGATGATGCATTGTTGATCGAGAGACATCTGCCTGCACCTCAGTCAGCTGCTATATATACGCTGCCACTGAAGCTCTAAACATATGTCAAACTGATCAGCGACACGCTGATCACAGAGAAAACATTTGCACTCGTCCTTCAGCAGCCTTAAACACCTTAATCGTTTAAACTGTCTCGCCTTAAAACCTGTGATCGTTCCTCCAGTTTCACAAAACAAACCACCGGCTTCGTCTAGTTCATGGATCTGACCTAATCAGTGGAGAATACTGCGGATTCCACCTTTTGAACTAACAGGGAGGTTTCCCTGGAATAATGAATATTTTTCACCTGCTAGTTTTTGCTTTTTTACACAATTAAAAGCACAAAAAGGGCATAATGAGCTTCTTGTAATCTCCCAGATATGAGATTGTTTTCCACTATAGGAACTGTAGGCGTTTGTGCATGTTCCCACTGCAAGATCCTCTTTCAGGGCGGTATGAGGGGGACAAATAAGCACTGTATCCACTCCAGGGTATGTACTCGTGAGTGGCCTCTGAAAAATGCTGTGCTGGTCTCAATGCTGAGATGACAAAAAAATGACAGTTTTTCTGCAGCAGTAGCAGTCTTCTCTCTATCATCGCCATGGACAACTAGTATTTGTCATTTGTTTTTGGTGAACTCAGCGCTAATATTGCGGTCGAAGCTGTTGGATCCTACACTACATACCCACAGGCAGGCTGAAAAGGCCAATTAGGGAATTAGTTTCTGCAAAACTTTGTGCCACCTTGCACCCGTCCTGAGCTCCTGTAATGTAAAGTTGCCTGTTCTGATGCATCTCACTGAAGATGCTGCTCAAAAGCCTCTTGCATCTGGCAAGAAAAATTCAAATGGGCTTACAGTGTGTAAATGTAATCCGGCTAAATCAAATCTACATTCACTCTGAATAGGGGATGCATGTTGATGCCGGATAGAAATAGTGGACCCATGCAAATCGCAGTGTCAAACACACGCTGTGGCACATATATTACACAAAACAGCCTGTGTCTGGGCCAGCTCTGCCGTATGACAGTAATTACTCATGACTTCCATGCTACTTCTTTTATTACGCATTCAGTAACCAGACAAAACAGACGAGCTCTCCCTCTGCCTTTCTTATCTCCTCTTTCTCCCAGCTCTCCTCCTCTCTCCGTCCCCTCCAGCCTTCTCTTATCCTCACTACCTGGACAGTAATCAGCCCGAAGCACATGGGCAGTATAGCTTTCCTCTTGATCTTCCTCCCTCCTGCCAAATCCAGCCTTTAGATCGACCTTCCTAATTGTCAACCTCCTCTAAGCCTTTTTTTTTTTTTATTATACTCTCTGCAAATACAGTATCAGCTCCCTCTCATCCACCTACATACCTTTCCTCTCCATTTATTCCTTCATCATTCACTCCACCTCAGCTTTTTTTCCCCCACTCTAACATCAATCAGCTCCTCTTCTTTCCATCTTTGTACAATCTATTTACACATCAGAAGTTATTCATCTTGGCCCACCTCCTTTAATTTCTCCCCTCTTTCCTCTCCCTCCATAACGTAGCCCCAGTTTCTTCCAGCTTAATTCACTTACTGCCATAATGTGTCTTGGCTCTCCCCCGCCCTTGAGTATCTTTTCTCACCTTGCTCCTCTCTGCCTGTATTTTTCTCTCATTGCTGTGTTCGTCAGCTGACTGTGTTTCTATGTGCCATCTGGTCGGCTCACACTCTGCCCGAACCCTGCTGTGCTCCGCCGTGCAAAAATGACAAAGAGGGGAGTCCCAGGGATGTGGCTGTTTTACAAAGCATCTTAAAAGTGCGGCACCGTGAATGAGATTGCGGCGTGTACGCGTCCGACAGCGTGATGGATGGGTGGTGGGGTGGGGGTGGGGGGGCAAAGGGGACGGTACCTCGTGCGATCCTCAGCACTCTCATGATGCGGATGATGGTGGGGTTGATGGGCAGTGAAGCGTTGACCTCAATCTCCTCCAGAGTGATGCCCATGATGGACAGCAGCACAATGGCCAGATCCAGCTGGTTCCACCTACACACACACACACACACACACACACACTCATCAGTCCTTAACACCAACTTAGATCACTTCTTTGCACCGAAACCTCCGATAAATGGGACTGGCTGCGAAAACCAGATCGAAACAAATCATCCATTTCTTCTTTGTGAGTCATTTCCTCCGGCACAGAAGTGTGAACTGGAGCCATATGACTGGAGCTTGAATCAGAATTGAGTCACAGATTCTGACTACTTTACACTTGACAAAATCAACAACACTTGAAACTCGGTTTCGACTTCAAAAACAAATACCTTTTGTCTTCACTTGGACTTTAAAGTGCACAGAAGGTCCTACTCTGGAGAGACCAGAGTCATGCTCAGTTAATTTCAGTGAAGAGCCTTTCCTGTGCAGGTTGCACTCCCAAGAAAAAGCACAATTTTCGATCTAGGATTTATGTGCAAGTCTTGTGATCAGTTTTCATTATACACGGTTGTTATTTGTGGGAGCGCATTACCTAAAAAACTTTAACAACTGCTCGTGTACAGTTCCTCTACCTTTTTACTTTACTGCTACAAAAAAATATGTGAATATTGTTTGTGTAATGTCCCTTAAATATGAAGCCACATCTGGCCCACAAACGAAGCCTTCCCCTTCCAAAGCTCCCTAATCAATACATTCTACTGTGTTTGTGTAACAACAAAACTGTTACGGGGGGCCAGAGTATTTCTTGGCTGGGCACAGTGACTTCCTGAAGTCTGGACTGGTTTATCTGGCAACCACGAGGTACAACATGCTAATTGGTGACCTTTAGAGTTGCTGGTCGGCATATCTGGTATCTTTGCAGAGAGCCAAGCTAAACATTTTGTCCTGTTTCTCGTTTTTACGCTAAGCCAGACTAACCGTCTCCTGACTCTATTGTGTTATCACTTTACCTTCAGCACAAATATGGTTTCGATCTTCTCAGCTAAGTCTTGGTAATAAATCTGAGAAGTGTATTTCCCAAAACTTCAGACTTTTCCTGTAAGTATGTACAATATTAGTGAGAAAAATTTGCAGTCTGTCATCTGTTTACCAATTTGAAATAAACTGATTGTATGAACGGACAACGGGGCTGTGCTACAGAGGTGGTTTGAGTATTTCTTATGGGCATTTGATAAAACATTTTCTGGAATTCAGTGAAGGTATCCAAAACTCCAAGATGCCAACAGCCACAGTGCTTTGTGAGGATGCCAAGCTTTTTCTCTTGACTTTCACTCCTACAATGGTGACACTCTGTATGAAGTATCACTTTAATGGTCCAAAATTAAGCAAAAACGAGTCTTGCGCGGATAATTAATTACGTACACTTATAAATTTAGAGAGAGATTATTATCTGGATGACAGTGTGTGAGACTGTGCAGAGATTTTTAAGCAGATTTAGAATGTCGCAATGGTCTAATTTAATTTAGCATGTTATAAAGACAGATCTGGTGCTGTCAGAAGTGGAGGCAGCGGGCTACTTTTCATTCCCAGTTAGTGTAACCTGAGTTGAGATCAAAATGTTGAAACCAGACCTAATTTTCCAGTTGCCGTGCAATAAATGTGGACTGAACAAAACGTTTGGAACGAAATGAACACATAAAAAGCGAAGATAGCGGTGGGTGGTCGCAGTGATCTGGTTTGTCCATTTCCATTGTTTCTCATCCATGAAAACGAGGGCCAAGAGTTTCGTTCCTCTCTCCGAGTTGAAAGTTTAACTCCATGGTGTTTCTCTAAATTTCTGTCTAAATACTCATATTGTATGCATCAAAATGGGGGAAAAAAACAAGATTCTGTGAGATTTAGTCATGGGGATGTTGGCTAAATGTTGTGCCAATCTGTTTGTGTGTAAGAGTAAATGAGTGTGTACTGAGCTGATATCAAAACTGGACAGCTGCCAAACTCAAAAAGGATAATGGTCTACTCTGGCAAAGAAAACGGGCAGAAATCCTAGGTGGTCAGTTCTTGTCCAAAAACATGATGCCTCCACTGAGGTGTGTGTGTTCATGTATATGCTGATGTGTGCTAGTGCACATTTGTTCTGTTGCGATTGTGTTTGTGCATTATTGTGTGGTTTTCAGCAGGAAGCCAGGGATTTCAAAGCTATGAAATCATCTAAGGCTGTTGTGTTTTATGGGTGTTTAACTAGGCCGTTTGTATTCATACAGGCCTCACCGAGCACCGTGCACTGGAGCACCTAACGAAAAGCTCGTTTAAGCTCTCCGAACGTTGCCTCAGATTTTCCACATGACTCAGAGGTTAAAGAACGGTGCTGTTAACTACCAATCCATATCAGAATATCGCATCTACTCAAATGTCAGAACCCCGAGCTGGGAGGTAACTGTTTATTCAGGATCTTCGTTTGATTTGTGTCAGAGATGTTAGGAAAAAGGTCATAGCGTCACTTTGGGGAGAAACGGCAGTGATTTAAATACTGACTTGTCTTTGAAGAAGCGTCGGAATCCGAAGGCCACCAGCTTGAAGACAGACTCCAGAACAAAAATGAAAGTGAAGATGTAGTTACAGATCTTCAGGGCCTCGTCCAATTCCTGCGGGAGAAATTACAAAATGTTAAAGATGCACAAACTGCACAAGCATCAATCTTAACAGTTCTGTAAACCCAGCATTAAATTTTCGGTTGCTCCACCGTAGTGAGCCATGGCTTTCATCAGCAGTCATTTATGAAAATGTGCTGAAACTGCACTGAAAACCAATGAAATGATCTCACCCCATCGCTATTATTTTCATATTTAAACAGGAGAACACTTTCGACTTGACTTGATTGCAGTAAATGGCTTGTTATGTGTGCATATTTTTGGTTTTTGTGTAGATAAACAGTTTACAGCCCCTGCATAAAATACCAAAGGGTCCATATTGCAAGCACTGCCCTTTTCGCCAGAATTAGCCATTCCATTAATAGATCATTCACATCACCCTCCGCTCTTCCCTCCCTCATTCTCTATGAAAATGCCATTAGAATCAAAGTGTCCATTTTTGCCTGAGGGAGACTCACAGTGCCCATCTGCATGTAAAAACTGACCTTTAGCTAAGAGACGAGGGATGAGGGAACTGGTGGTCAGCAGGGATTTCACTAAATCCTCACTGGTGGTAATTCAGCGACCAGCAGTTTACTCCACTATCTTCCATTTTACCCAACAATCCATTAAACTTCATGCGAACCAAAGACCCTCTGTTTCTACTGAAATACATTATATGCTACCATATAGCTAAAGTCAGTCCATCTACAAAACATTCTTCTGTTCCATCTAAAAAAAAAATCTCTTTTTTACCAAACTTCTCATTCTATCTACAGATTTCTCTTCAACAACTCCAACGAAACAACCGTCTATTCTACCAAAATACTTCTGACATTTTATCCAATGGAAGACATTCTGTCCTATATTATCTAGAGTAAACTGTTTACTCAAAAATCTTCTATTTAAACTAGTCAGTCTGCAAAACATCCTTCTTTTCTATCTAATGTCATCTTAGTTTAGAAGACCTCTCATTCTACCAAGGTATTAAATTCTACTCAGTGACTTTCTGTTGTTCTAATTCTATCCGACCAAATAACGTCCTGTTCTGCCAAAATACCATCCAACATTCTGTCCACTTAAAGGCATTCTAGTTTACCAGACAACGTTCTGTTTTACCAACAATAAGTCCATTCTCCTTTCCCCAACAATCTATATAACACTCCATATAAAGTCATTTCTTCTATTCCACCAAACATTCTTTTCTACCTATAGATGTTGAATGCCATTCAGCCGTCTTGTGTCCTACTAAATAAAGTTCTATTTGAACAACAACATTCTAGTCTACTTCACATTTAACCAAAAAAAGACATTACTCTTGAACCTACATAATCTGGAGTCTGTCAAACAGCACTGTATTCTACCAAGAGACCTTCTTTCAAGTAACATTTCATTCATCGTTCCTCACCGAAAGACCTCCTACTAAACCCAAAGACCTTCTTTTGTACCGAACCACTTTCTCTAGTATTAGCGGACTGGCATAAACTGTTTCATTCATGCATCACACAATCTCTGATTCCTATTAGCTCACCTGGCAAAATATTAACTTGGATTCTTTGAGAGGAGAAGCTCAACCACCGAATCCAACTGTGTAACCACTTACTACCCACCTAATAGCCTTTCTATGTTATCAGCATCCAGCTCCCGCCTACTCCACATTACTACCTCCTTATCTGCCCTGTAACACCCTTGCATGGTTCTCAGTTTTTCTATTGCTGCTAAATAAAACTTCTCCCTCTACTTCCCTCAGCTACCTTTTTTTCCTACCTCCACCTCAGGGTTCTGAGCAAGCAGGTGGCCAACAATATGATGTTATAAAGTGATGTGAAATATTTCAAAAATGATTAGAGGAAAAGAATCCCAGATGGCACGTCTGCCTGACGGCGATTACAATATGGGCTATAAATCCTAAGTATCCATAGTAGACCTCAGTGATACTTAGAATATATTTATAATTACCTTTTGGGTGAACCAGATGGCTGAGATTTGTGGTACCCCAGGATACCTTACATTTCTACAGTTAAAGCATTACTTCAGACCATTTTAATATGTTTTTCTCTACTCCGTATATTGTACAATGATCTTTTATTTATTGTTTCGACCTCCCTTTTATAGTTCACCACCGACTTTCTTGCCAGGCTTTAAAAATTCTTATCTAGCTTTCATTTCTTTTTCTCATTCTGATTTTCTGATCCCTCTCTCACCCTTGTTTAAAAAACTAATATGGCCGTTTTTTAAAGGTTACTTTTTTCGAAAAAAACATGTTAGTATTAGTATTTTATTATTGCTGGAACAACTTGTACACTTGACACTGTCTCTTGAAGTCTCCTGAAGCTATAAAGCCAGTGTTCCAGGAAGATTAAACTAATATTTCAATAGCGTTCATTTTAAAAGGCCAATGCAGAGAGTGATATATTTCAAAATGAAGCCTTTAACGGCCAAGCTCCGATGCCAATATTGATTTAAAGTTGCTCATTCTCAGGCCAAAACATTCAAAAATATTGGTCAGAATTCAAGTTTTTTCTAATAAACTGTATTTGTGGCAGGATGAAAATGCCTTTGACTCAAGGACACTATGTTATACATTACTATATATTATACAAGGCAATGCAATTATCAATATGTGTAGTTACTGACGTGTGTTATATATTGTATAGAAGACAATCCTTAAGAATCATTGGGAAATAATAGTCAAGCCCCGTGTCCTACTAAACTGTTTAAAGGTACGGTGCACCATGTATAGATATTCAAAGCACAGAACCCTATTATTTCCCCACCGTCCCGCTCCCCACCACCTGACCTTAGGTTGCTGGTAGTGCTCCATGGACATGGTGATGACGTTGAGCCCTATTACGATGGTGATGAACAGGTCCAGGTAGTGACTGGTGCACATCTTGTGGATGAGCAGGCGGGTGGGGGAGTAATCGGAGTAGTAGGGCTTACTCTGAGCTTCTGTTGGAAGTGGGAAATGGTGGGGGGTTGGGGGTACAGGTAAGTAGGGGGGGAGGAGGAGGAGGGGAAGGAGGAGGAGGATGGGAGGGGCGGTGTTCAAAAAGTGAGATAGCAGGAAATAAAACGGGACACAGTACAGCACACCTGCAGCGTTGAGGACTGGAGTCGTGGAAACCTCATTGATAGAATAGCTGTTAGTGGAACGTGATAGAAATGTGTTGAGGTCGCTCATGATGGTTGACTCGCATCAGGGGTATGAGAGGATGCAAAGAGATGTGAAGAGATTTACAAGAGGCAGATCAGAAAATGGACAGAGAGAAAGGGAGACTCCATCCTTCACACTGGTCTGCAGTCATGACTGATCCAATCAAAGCTCCTCCTCTCTGATCAACAGGTGTTTAAATTAACTCTCCCCTCAGTGAGTGCGATGAGAGATAAACAGCTCAGTGTCTCCCTCTGTCTCTCTGATCATCATGTGACTCCTCATCTCTTTCACTCCCCTCCTCTCAGGAGAAGAACACAACACAGTAGGAAAGTTTTCCATACTTATCCATCACTTGGTTCCTCACCTCTTCCCTCCGTCCAGAGTGGATGGATGGATGGGTCGGGAGTTAGGATGAGGAGGACAGAGGAAGCTCGCACCATCCATCACCTTATCACTCCATCAGTGAAGGAGAGGCCTGAGGTCACGCGGGTGGGGAAAGGGAATCACCGGCACACACTCAAAGGCGGAAGTCCTTTGGGTGCCGCGAGTGCTCCCTGTCTGCCCAATTAGCACAGGTGTGCAGCTGAGTGGAGCTGATTCCCAGGAGTGGGCATGTGTGTGTGGGTGTGTGCAGCTCGGGATTTGTGCCAAGTGGGTTCCCTATCGAATCAGTGGAACTCCACTCATAGATCAGGGAACAGGACAGGAGAGCTGAGCAAGCAGAGTCAGCTAACAGGGTAAAATTTACCCAGCCGTGCCTGATGTTAAATATATATCTGCATCTTTTAGGACTGGAATTTATCTCTTGAGATAAAGCCAACCAGGTGCAGAGCTATTACAAATGTGGAGCAGAGAATATCCTTAATGCATCCTGTGATGCGTTCAGCAACTGCAGTAAAGGATTTTATATAAGCAGGATATATATACACATTTCAGTTGTGTATTTATAGCAGCCGCAGTCAAAACCAGCACTGGCTGCCCAGTAGAAACCTCTTTAGTACTATTTATCTTTATAACTAGTCTGCAAGTTTAATTTAAACAATAATTATTTAACGTTCTCTGAATTGTGATGCTCTTTGCAAAGTGACATTTTCAAAGGACAAAATTCCAAATAAAACACGACCATAATTTTAAAAATGAAAGAAAATATTCAAATAAGCTGCAGACTGGATAAAACATACTGAGGTGAAGGAAATTACCTGTACTATAATGTGATTTGACATAACTTCCATTTTCACCACATGACTTCCAGCAAAGCAACAGCAATGTGTCAAACACATCAATCTGCTGCAACAGTTCCTCTGTGGAGGCAGAAACACTGTTTTCATTCATTGGTTAGCTTCAAAAAACATTCTTTGAACCAGTTGGTGAAAATGAAATTTAACACTTTCTGCTGAAATTAAATGTTTGTCGAGAGAAAGAGAATTTGCCGTCTGAACTTCTTTATGGGTTTTAACGCAAACGTCTGAGCAGGAAATTAAGAATTTTAATGCAGGTGCACTGAACAAAGGGACTGGAATTACTTAGTGTTTGCACTGTCAAAAATAGAAGCTAAAAACAGTAGAATGGTATCATGATGCTTGTCAGTGTCGTTGTTTGGCGTTGTGCTGGGTAGTTTATCAAGGTATTCATGGAAGAAGTGCTGATTTCCATTGACAACAAACAGGAAGATGCTCTAATAAAACATGATCAATTATACACTGCAAAACACCGTAAAGGACTTTAGTCAAATCAACATATCTTTTCTAGATTCCTTTATGTAAATATATGAGTTATGAATTCCTTGTGAGCTTAAAATATCTAATATTTAGTTTTAGACCACTTTAAACGTGAAAAACTAGGCAGCAGGGAAACATAAGCTGAATGAACTTATAAACAGGAAACATGAACAAATTAGGCTTGTCTCTAATGTGAACCTGCTTTATTTTTCTCTTGCTGCTGTTGAGGTAAATAATAAGAGAGTTGGAGAGTTGTTAAGGTTTGGCAGACGCCTGCGCTCTGCTGAGTGCCTTCAAGTTAATTATTCCATATTTGTGTTCAGAGCCATTTTTTGCTGAGAGTTAATTCTGTGCCTGCTGCTAATTATTGATATTGACTACAGGGGAGATGAACCTGAACGCCGGCGGTGCGGTCTGAACCTCGGGGCAGCCAGCGGTGGAGTTTGACTGCTGCCGAACACCTACGGAGAAGTGCGTGCCAGAAAGTGAAAATAATGTGGCTACTGGTGCGCTTGGTCCTGCTTTTCAAACAAATGTACCGAAACAAGGCTGACATACTCTGTCACCTGCTTTGCTTTTTTAGCGCCTCGGGACCTGGAACAGTCTCCGCACCAACATTTCTTCATCTTGTCAGCTGCTTTTTTTTATAAATGAGGCTATACTTTTGGGCATTTGAACAGATGGCCGCTGAGTAGACAGTGATAAAGCAGATTTAGAGCATCTTGGGTAAGTCTGGGCACATGCCTTTGAATCAGAGCAGTGAGGTGCAGCCCTTGTGGGACGCAACAGTTTGGTTTCCCTGACTGAGAGTTCATATTTACGAGATCCTCCATCATCGTTGGAAGATCAAACATTATTTTTTTTTACTCTGCTCTACTTACTGTCTGCAGGTGCATGAGGCAGACACATAACAGTAGCCTTTCATTTAAACATGCTGTAGAAGTTGTGTTTTTCTCTGCCTAGTGTGCCATATCTGCTGCTCCATTTACATTCCTACAGAGCAAAGAAACATTCAATTACAGCACAAAAAAAGGTCATACCTAAAGTTGGCTCTCTACTTCGGTTCACTCTCCCCGAAAAAGTAATCTGAGGAAGTAAGTAAGCATTGCCCTTAATATTAGGGAAGGTGCAGAGAGGGCAAGGCTGAACAAGAGATATGGGGATAAGGGAAAAGAAATGGAAAGAAAGAGAGACGGAAACCTTTTTGGCTTAAACTCAACTAGTCCCTGGAGGAGTAGAAAGAGAATGAAGTGAGCGAAGAAAAGGTGAAAGTTTAGGAAGTCAAATTACACCGGTTGCTCCGACTCTCCTGCTCCACTGCTCTTTTCTCCTTCACGGAGAAAAAAAAAGAAGAAAGCTACTCTTAATGAGGAATGGAGTTTATGCTGCTCCGGCTTTCAGTCAAGCTGACAGTGGAATGATTTTTTTTTTCTGCAAGGTTGTAAAATATTCAGTGGAAGAATGAGGAAGTGATTTAGCCCCCTGTTCTCCCGCTTTGGCTCCCCTCTGTCTCCGCTCTGCCCTTTCCTCTCGCGTCCTTCACTGATGTGGCAGGTGGAGCCTTCCTCTCTGAGCTTTGATATCGTTTTTAAAAGGATCGGTGCAAATGCGCAGAGGGGTCATGACCAGTCGCTTTCATGAAGGTCACGACACCTGCTTGCTGCATTCCATCCTCACGTTTGACACCACTTCTGTGAACAGACCATCCGGGACAATCATCTCAAGGGGACTTAGGTCTCATTGTATTTGTTGAAGAACTGCAAAAACATGCAGCTATTATCGTCTGTAACAGGCATTTCTTTGTCTCCACGCAAATTAAATAAATCTTTACTCTTCTTATGGAGGTAACCCAGAAAAAACAAGACAGGTTTTTCCTGCTGGGTCCCAACTAAACACATCAATTTTTGCACTTTATCCTCTGATGCTTTCATTGTCCACCAGATGTGGCTGTGTTGAGCTTCATGTCTATCACTGCTGCAAAGATGATCTGCTGCCATTTAAACTTGTGCAGCAATGTCCGCTGGCTGCATGACTGGAGCATCTCACTTGCGCCTCCTTTTATTTTTTGGCCAGAAAGTTCCGCATTTCTGAGGAGCGACATTTACGTGCAAATGTTCGTAAACATGCAAAAGATCGAGGCACTAAAAGTAAAACATGATTTTGTAAAAGTACAGCAAGGAATAGTTTGAATTATCATGTAACTTGATAGAAAGTGCAATAAATAGAAGAAAACTAAATCAAATAAATACTTTATATCAGCAACAGTTGTCTTTGAAACAGCATGAGTTCTCTTAGGTGAACTTGCATGCTGTGTTTTTAGATTTGTAGGTCACTCCAGTTTGAGATCAAGACTCTGCGAGGACAATCTGTTGCAGGACTGCTTGGTCCTCTTGAAAGTGAAGATAAGTTTAAGATGTACATGTTTGGGCTGAGACTGGCGACCTGTCCAGGGTGTCCCCTGCCTTCGCCCTAAGTCGGCTGGGACAGGCTCCAGCCCCCCCGCGACCCTAGTGAGGATTAAGCGGTGTATAGATAATGGATGGATGGATGGATGTTGGGGCTGCTACAGGGAGATCTTGATGAACAGGAATCTATACCTCCAAAGTGCTTAAAATCTTTCCCCAGTATTGCATACTAACACCCGTATTTATCTGCAATTGACTTTAAGCTAATATAATTATTCTTTTTTTACTCTATTTACTGAAGCTTAACAGATATTAAGCAGCGATTTAGTCACGGCTCATAAAACTGCATGTTAACTAGTAGTCACTCCCAAGTGGATGGAATGCAGAGCTGATGAAAACACTGTTTATATTTGTATTATACAATTACTGACATTTAAATGATGATCCCAGGACGTGGCAAAAAGGTTGTCTTTTTAATGCCACACATGCCACTACACTAACTGTTCATTTTAGTTATTGTGCAACAGTCTCATTTTAGGGGCTAAGTGAGCACGTAGAGCTGAAAGTAAGGGAAAAGTAGGAGTTTATAAATTTTACCAACGTAGGCTACATTATGTACATTATTTTGGTTTGGGGGTTTCCAGTAATTGAGTCATAACGCAGCTGTTTCCA